TCCGACACCGGCACCTCCACATCATGGCTATCTTGGACAGAAAGGGAAAAGGGACTAACATTTACACAATTCAAAGATAATCACCATGTTGGTGTGTGGGTGCATGTGTGAGGTGTGGGCTCCAAACTGATCCCCAATTTCAATGTTGATTTCAAAGTAGTTCCAAGTAAAAAATTCCTCACTGAATCCAGAAAATATGACACACATCAGGGAGCTCTCTTTCCAGTAAACAGCACAGAAGAGTACAAAGTATTTACAGGGGGCAGTGGGGGAGATGGGGAACAGAGTAGAGTTCCTATCTGATGCCACAGCCAACATAGACATTCTATTTATTTTATACCTGAGCAGGGATTGGTTTAGATGCCAACGCGATAGAAGTGATGAGTCATCTGGCTAGGTTTCTCTTGGGTCCATCTCATTCCCAGCTTGCCCTGTGCTTGCCTCTGTGGTTCCGATTCGGAGCCAGTGAGGAGGTTGGTTAAGGTTTCCACTCGAAGGAGGCATGGACTGCTCGCCTTTTGAGGGGTTGAGGAGGCCGGAAGTTATCCACCATTGGCTGCTTCTCAGAGTCTTCCTCTCCTGAGAACATGAGCATTCGGAACTTATCCAGCTACATGGAATAAACGTAGAATGTCACACGCAGCTGGGGAAATATGGATCTGCTTCCCACAAAGCGTAATGCACACAAGTTCAATTCATCACTTTAAATCCCTGACCCATAGGTTTTTGCCAAATAGGCAGATAGCCCTATCCACTCACCCAGGTTCTAAGTTACAGATCTGCCATGATCACATTGAATAGTTATAGGTTTGAGGGCTGAATGGCCTTCTGTTCTTACTATTACAACACAAAGGTACAAACTCCAATCCAAAGATTCAAGCCCACAGTACTGTGTGGGGGCAGAATGTTGGAATTGAGGGCGTTGGTGAAAAATCTATTGCTCAGACCAGATACAATACCATTAAAGAAAAACGGAAACTGCTGGAGAAATTCAGCATCTGTGGACAGAAAGCAGAATTAATGTTTCGGGTCCACTGACCCTTCTTCAGAACTCTGTTTCTGATTTCCAGCATCCGCAGTTCTTTGGTACTTTTTGTTTAGTATTAAGCCATTACATCCAGCTTGCCCACTCAAATAGTCACAATCCATCCCTTGTACCAACCTGAGGAGTGGGACTAGAACCCAGAAGAGCTACAGCGGATAAGTGAGCCTCCAGCAGGAGGCACTATCACAGCCAGGAGGATGTTAAATTCAAATTTGCTGATGGAGAAAACTAAGAAAGCTGAAAAAAACTAAGATCTTTTGTGTAATTTCTATTTCTTCAATGTCTGACAATTGAACAACTTAATCCAAGGTTGGAGCTTACAAACTCTGCTCTGGCTGATGGCCAGGATCAAAGTGAAGTGGAATTAATTTATCAACCTGGTTCATAGCACAGAGCAGGCTAAGGGAATGCACATCTCTCTCTCACACACATACACACAAGCACACACACGCATGTGTGCACACACACGCATGCATACACAA